TATATATATATATATATATATATATATATATATATATATATATACAAGTAAAATTAATTTTTGAAGTCCCAATAGTAGAGCCAATTGTTGTTATGATTACATGTATGTTAGATAAAGGCATTATTTAACTGGACTTTTGGTATTAGTTATGCAGTTTTACCTTTGGTTTTTCATATTTACAATAACATAACATTTAAGGACAACAATGGACCTTCTGGTCTATCTAGGCTCTCCCATCCACTAAACTACAAAAATATTCAAAGCCAGCCATTATCATTTAAATATTTATCAACTATTCCTTAAACTCCCTTAAATTTACTGTTTCCACCACATATGAAGGTAACCCTATTAGAAAATTAAAAATATTTTAGCAGAAGACAATTCTTATCCTGTCTGAATTTGTGTCCCCTGGTCCTACCATTCTTACAATTAAGTATGAAAAAAGATGCATTAACATTATCATTTCCCCTTAATCTAAAACACATCAATCAAATTCTCTCTAATTCTCCTATTTTCTGTCCTCGATTGACAACCTTTCCATCTATAGCCCTCCTTTGAACCCTTTCCAATGATACAATGAAACTATAACCTCATTAGACTTATATTCAGTATTTCTGTAGACATAACCTAAATCCTATTTGTCCTACCACTAGCAACAGTACACTGCTTGGAATGGCTTAAGAAACCGATAAACTAAAATGCAAAGATCCTTTTCTTCCTTAAAAAATTATACTCATCATCCCAATTGTAATACCCCACGAGCATTACCTTGCATTTATTAAAACTCAAAGACATCTGCAATTTATTCACCTAACTCACCAAATAATCTAAATCGTTTTGTAAAGTAGTATCCTCCTCCTCACAGCCAGCAACATCCAAGACAAATTGATATCATCAACAAATAATTTATTCACCATTCCTTCATCTATGTCATTGATGTAAATAAAAAAGAGGAAAGGTCCTGTACCCAACTTATGACATTAATCCAGTCTGAATGAACTCCATTTAAAACAACCATGTACCTTCTTCCATCCATCCACTTTTCTAGCTACTGATAGGGGTACAATTAGTAAAGTGTTCAAATGACAATAAACTCTTGGGTATCTCTAGCTTTACAAAGTATTTTTAAGTACTACAGAATTACTTTGATCAATTGTTTGGTTGGACAAATATCTGGTCAAAAATCTTTAATTACCACATGTACAAGGTACTGCATTTGGGTTGTCATAATTTCAATCATGTTTATTATAAATTGGAACACGCTTAACAGCATGACTGAAAAAAAGGGTTTTGAAATATTGGTGAATAAATCACTCAAGCTATTAAAGCAGTACTCTGCTGGCAGTAGTAGTAAAGCTAATACTAGCTTAGAGTGTATACTGATCACAAGTCAAAAGAGGTAATCACACACACATTTCTTTAGACAAATCACTAGTTAGGCCTCAAATTGAATACTGTTTACAGTTTTGGTCTTATTTAAGACAGAACATTGTCTTATTGGAAAGAGTTTAGAGGAGGGCTACTAGGATCTCTTATTTTCTCTTCAGCGGTGAAGTGTAAGAGGTGATGTTGAAGTTTACAAGAATATGTCTATTGCACAAAAAAAAAGGATGTGATATGAAAGTATTTGTACTCAAAATATGTCTGTGAATTCTGACATCAGTTTGACTCAGACTGACAAGTTGGAGTGCAAGGTGATGTTCTTGTGAAGAATAAAAATACTTTTGTCTATCATACAATTTACATGTTGCATTTGCATAGCCACCAGAACCTTTGAAATGCATATCTATAGTTTTTCTCAGTATATCTGTATACTGTATCTGGTATTTACTCTCCTGTACCATGAATTAAGTCAACAATGTAGAGTAAAATAAATAATTGATAACTGATATCAAAGACATAATACCATGTTGAATGACACTGTCAGAAGTTGTGGCATGCACATTTTGACCTCCACCCATGCACAAAAAGTTAAGATAGTTTATTTGATAACAAAGATATTGGAATATGGAATGAGCTACCATCAGCAGAATTGGAGTCCAACACTTTAGATGTGCTTAAAAGGGGAATTGCTAACTTACTTAAAAATATATATAGTGAGTTCAAGTTCTCACTTTTTTTTATCAAAGTTTAATGAAGTGTAAATCCACAATTTTTAGCACAAAGCAAAGAACTTATAATTCAATAACATATGTGACAACAGACATGCAAGTAGTAGCCAGAAACTAGCAATTTGATATTTATTAAAAAGTTTATTAAACAAACAGACCAAACTTTCTGATTACTTTCAAATCATAATGTCTTTAATAGCTAAATGTTTTGTTTTTATTATTTTTAAGTATATTAGTATGGTAAATGATGGTATACATCTTTCAATATTGTTCATAAAAATATTATTGTGTGGTTTACTTAAAAAATAACTGAATATCTTCCTGCACAACTTATAAGTAGTTTACATTTCATATCTATGAAATTGTGTTTATTTTTGAAGAAAGAACAGAACAAAACAGGCTATTCTACTAATAAATAATTACAAAAGAGGCCCAAGTTAGCAGTGCTTTACATTTGCTAATATTACATAGTTCTGCTTTCTGTATAGAACTTTTTAAAAAACACCCTCTACAAGGTTTACAAATAAACAAATATTCACATTTTCCTTTGAAAATATAATCTTGATTTGATTCTTATGTCAGAATTTTTTTAAGAAGAATAACTGTAAAAGCCTCTTTATGATTAATAAAATGTTTATTGAGTATATCTATATTTCATTGCTCAGCAAACCATATGTAACAGAATGACTAAATTCAGAAATCAGGTTCAGAGGATCAACTATAATTGTTTCACCACAAAACAGAATAAGGAGTATTTACAGCTAATCTGTTTAAGGTTGTTGGCCTTCTACTAGACCATTACATATCATACTTGGAATAAATGCAGCTAAAACACACATTAGATAACTTTCAAAGTTACAAACATCTGATATAGACTACAAAAAACCATGGTTGTTTGAACTTACCAATATGAACTGGATCATTCGAAAAGTTCTCTGTTGACAGATCTATTGTAAATACATGAAAAGGTTCTTCCAACAAGACTGCAACATGAAAAACAAAAACAAAAATAGAGCTAAAAATGAAATCCAGTTTTCTTTTCCTTGCAAGAGTCATCTAAGAATCTAAGATAAAAGATTTCTTAATCCACAGATATGTCACTACACATAAATACACACACAAAAAAAATCAAAGTAAAACTTAATGTATACACAAAGTATTTGTATGTTAGTATAATAGCTTTCTTGCTCTTTTGGTAAATGCATAACATTTATTGAAAGTGCTTAATTCTAAAATCCACAAGGAATATCAGTTAAACACTTAATTGTTGTTTATTATTTAGATAAATTACTCTGATAAAAATACAGGCTGTAAATTATCTACATCTGATGATAATAGCAGTTACTGGGGAAGTTAACACTGAACAAATTTCATTCATTCAGATGGATGCTGATAGTTCGCATGCATTCAAAGGCATCAAAAATGTATTTCAATATTAATAAGTGTAATACATATACAAAGCAAAGTTCAAAAGGCCTATTAACTGAATCAGAAAAATATTATTAGTGATTTAAAAATTATGAGAGATACAAGTGTCATGTAATTATTAAGAAAAGCTATTCAACATGGTCTGACAATGGTGATTAGAACTACTCAACCATTGGGACATGTATAGCAATTTTGGGTTTTTATCTAAATATTGCTGTAAATTTGTATAATCTCGACTGGCTAAACCTAATCTGGAGTAGTTTTATTTTTGTTATTGTAGGAACAACATAAATTTTCTTGAAACAATACAGATACACACAACATAATAGATACTTGACTTATAAAATTAGTTTGACCTTGGATTTGTTAGCTGTTAGTTTTTGTTTTTTTTACTTTAGTAATATGGTGCATAATAATATTTTCTATTCGGTTGTTGGATACAAGTGAAAACAAAAAAATCTGAGAATATATAAAATGAAAGGAGAAAGGTTATGTATCCATGCTAATTGCATATCCTTGAACAAGGTAAAACCAAAAAATACTTCACTTAAATGAAACCTTTCATATGAATATTCCCAAACTAAGTGAACACACTGATGACCCTATGATAATAGGCAAACTATTTAACAAGTTAAAACATTCTAAGAGAGAAAACTTACGAATAAGACCAATTCCACATGAGAAAGCAATAAATTTGGGACTTAATGATAGAACCAAGTGGTTTTAGGTGTTCAAAAGGCTGGGGAATTTAAAAGTAATAAGAAAAATTCAATATGGGGCCTGCATAATATAATTAAAGCAGTTGGTATTAAATATAATGAAGTCACCAAATTTTGAGAAAAATGCTTATAAATATTTATAGGTATATTTTGATAAACAAGGTCACAAAAACTTTATTAATAAAGTATATGAGCAGCTTATCTATCACACATTAGTTCAGAACAATTGATTTTTTAATTCTTTTTCTTTCTGGTGCAGTGTTACTGTCATTATTTGTGGGCTTTAGAAGTAAATTTAAACTACGATGAATTAGTTATGGCAGGTAGCAATTCAATAGCTCCACACAAAGTATCATTGCGAGTTTATGTTATATTTTGATAACATTTATAACTAACTGAGTAGTTAGTAAAGGACACATTAACATGATCTTTAGGTTTGACAAATCCCTTTTATATTGAACTCTTCACATTGAGTCTTAAAAGATACATAACATTCTCCTGAGCTATGCAAGTACTACCAGAAGGTGACAGTAACCAACTAACACTAATAAATCAAATACACAACAGCATATTTATAAACATGGTATATATATATATATATGTACACTTGAACACTGAAAAGTACAGCAGAAATTTGTTGTATCACATTTGTTATATTTTGTAAATTAGGCACATTTATAGTTGTTTGCTAGTTTAACTTTTCCTGTCTACCACTTCCACATAGTTAACAGTAGCAAACAGTTCTGAAACTATGGCTATTATTAAGTTAAAAAGAAAAAGAAAGAAGATTATACCACGAAATAACATGTAAGGACACAAGGGACCTATTGGTCCACCTTGAGTGTCTAATCCACTCAAATAAACATTACAAACATACACACACACACACACACACAGTTATCATGCCTTCCCTTAAATTTACTGTATCCAACACTTCTTTAGGCAACCTATTCCGAGGGCCAACCACACTGTTAGGAAAATAAAGCTGTCTTAGCTAAAGTTGATTTCTACCCTGCCAAAATTCACATTTATGTCCTATACTCTCATCATTCAATACAAAAAAATATGATGCATCAACACTATCAATTCCCTTTACATCTCAATCAAATACCCTCTAACTCTTCTTTTTTTTTGCAAGAAAATAACAATTTCAGAGATTTTAACCTATCCTTGTCTGACATCTCAGGTATTATCCTAGTAGCCCTCTTCTGAACCCTTTCCAATAATTCAATGTCCTTTTTAAGGTAATTATACAGCGACATTTAACCTCTGTATTCAATATTTCTGTAGATATAACCTAAACTCCTATTTATCCTACCACTAGCAACAGTACATTGCTTGGATAGCTCAAGAGAATAATCAACCAGAACACAAAAGATCTTTTCCTTCCATAACACTACTTAGGCTATTTCATTGAAAATTATACTCATCATTCAAATTGTGACACCATATGCAATACTTTGCATTTATTATAATTAAAATCCATCTGCCATTAATTTGCCAAACTCACCAAATAATCTAAATCCTTTTTTAAAGCAGCAGTATCTTCCTCACAGCCAGAAACAATCAAAGCTTCAACATTATCAGCAAATTTAAATAATTTATTGACCATTTCTTCATCCACATCATTGTTGTAAATGAAAAAGAGCAAAGATCCTAGCAATGAGCCTTGAGGTATTCCACTTGTGACATGAATCCAGCTGTACTGAACTGTATTTATAACAACCTCCCGCTTTCTTTCATTCCTCCAGTTTTCTATCCAATGAACCAACCTCACCTCCATACATAAAGATATAACTTTTTTAACACGCCTTTCATGTGATACCTTGTCAAATGCTTTCCGAAAAACCAGATACACCAAATCCACACCCTCATCTACATAAGCATTAACCTCTTCAATGTTAAATGATTAGTAAGGCAAGATTTTACCAAACTGAAACCAGGATGACTGTTCTAAAAAAATTTTTAATTTTGTTAAATGACTTTGCAAAGCATCATTTATCAGACTTTCAAAAACTTTTCCCACCAATGAAGATAAGACTAATAGGCCTAAAATTACTGGGACAATTGTTATCATCTATTTTGAAGAAAGGAGTAATATTAGCCAACTTCCTATCTTGTAGCACCTGTCAACCATTAAAGTATTTAGAAAAAATAATAGAAAAATGGCTCACATATCTAATTCTTAATCACCTTCAAAACCCTTGAATAAATATTATCTGATCAAGAGATTTATCATTCTTTAAACTTCACAATTATTTCTTAATAAGCTCGAATTAATGTGATCATCTTGTTCAATATTGTTTTTATCTAGGAACTGTTCAGGATGAAGAATATTGCTTAAAATTGTAGAATTTAATAACCCAGTCATCCCATACTTATCTGATTCAGTATTCCTGTAACATCCTTCAATGACCTTACTCCCATCCTAACATTTTGCTCACTTAATGTATTTTAAGAAATCGTGATTATTAATTTTTACATCTTCAGTCAACCTCTTTCATAGTTCTTTGAGTTCCTAATTTCCTGTTTTACCAACTCTCTTGATCTTCTATAACCTTTCAAAATCTCCCATTATTACAGTCAATTTAAGCCTCCTATATTTATAATTCTTTTCTTTAATGTTATCCTTTATATTCTTTATGAACTAACCTTTTGTTTTTACCTGTAGCAATCTTTTTTCGTTTTTTTGATGAATAGCATGCCTATCTTGAATCTTCAAGAATGTATTTTAAAAAATTCCTCATATTTGATCAGCATATCTAATTGATTCAGTTGCTCAATTCACAGCAGATAATGCTTGTACCATCCCTTCAAAATTTTAAGTTTGGAACCAAAATCTCATTATTCCTTATCTCCATAAGCCGAAAAATACTAAATCTAATTGAATTGATCCTAAAAATTCATCCAGCCATCCTGCTCATCTCTACATATTAACCTAGGGATAGCATTCAGCCCTACTTACATTTTCATCCCCACTTGTAAGTGTTGGCAGTATTCCTGACAGAATTAAGTTATTATAAGACCTTTTCTATGAATACCTTTACCAATGCCTTGTAATTTGTCCTCTGACAAATTTTCCCCTACATCATTCGACATTATGTGCACCACAAAAACTGCATCACTGCTAGCATCCTTTACTATATTACTTGCTTTGTCAGTTATATCCTCCACCCCTCTCCCTGGATAGCATAATCTAATTCTTTTCTCCTTATTTACCCCACAGTCTATCCTATTCATGTGTTGCACAAACAAATCTCCAATAAAAATAACCTCATATTTTTCATTTCCATCCCTACCTATCCCTTATATCCTTCCCTCCTCTAGTTCCTTATCTATACAAGCTAGAGGCTGAAATCTGTTACTTAATAGAACCTGATAATTATAATTAAATCTATTACTACCCGCCCTACTAGTACTGTCATGAAAGTCATCATTAACCACTGTATCCTTTACATGCAAAAGCTTAATTTTCTCTTTAAATCCTACTGCTATTTTCCACAGTTTCCCCTTCTCTTTGTCCACTACATCTACCCTATTTAGGATAGTCTCCAATTTCTCCTCCAACCTACAGACTCTATACACAAATTGTACAGGGTGGGCAAAAAATATTGGCACCCTTCCCTATTTAAAGCTCATGTTAATTTAGTTTTTCATATTTTAGCTGGGCTTCATCAAACAGATTGTGGCAAAGGAAATATATGAAATAACTGATGTTTTGAAACAAAAAATTGTTGAAGGTTTCATTCACTCAGGTCACTACTAACATGCCAAGGAAGATGTCACATTACACATGGAGACATATCATCCATGTCATGAAAATGAAGGCCAACAGA